GGAAAATTCTTAAATTTAGTGTTACTTTTGTATTAATGAGGCGAGTGCTCTAACCACTAGGCTATGGGACTCCAGCAATTACCTGTGGAGCGCTTTGAGATGTTCGGCTATAATAAGTCACTATAAAAATACAAGTTCTTTCTTGCAAAAATGTTTTTTCTTGTTAAGCTTGCATCTGCTTTGACAGAATCAGACCACAGGGTGGTGTTGGAGTGGTTTCAATTTAAAGGGCTTCGAAAGAGAACGCTATCTGCTCTCAGAGAGAGGAATCTTTTCCATTTTGAAAATCTATCCATTTTGTAAACTCAAAGCTTGCCTAAATCATCTATGGAATTCTGTTTAACTCCTCAATAAAAATAATAATAATCCTTGCATTCGATATAGCGCCTTAACATGTCTTCTAGACGTCTCAAAGAATAGACTGTAGAGTGAATTGACTGTGTTTTTTGAGCGAAATGTGGCAGCCAATTGCGCACAGCAGTGTCCCACAAACAGTCGTGGATTAAGTGACCAAATTATTATTATTTATTTTTAAAAATTTTATTTGCAACTCCTTACATCCTGCAGCAACATAGAATGTTATATTGCTTATTCACCACTGAAAGCAGTATCATATATTGGTAAGGTTGAATAAACATCAGAATGGGTGAGAGTCACTGATGCCCTGTGAAGCAGTGAGGTCACACATGGTTATTATCCTGATAAAGAAAATAAAGGAATAAACATTTGTAATGTTGTCATAGTTAGAAATACTTACAAACAAGTGACACAACAGCAAATAGAAGTTACAGAGAGAATAGAGAAGAAGGAACTGAAGGGAAAAAAGGAAACCAACAGGTTTATCAACCTGCCATTTTCCACAAGGTGCGTGACAATTAATCTGGGGTTTTGTTGGAATTTCTGGTTTACATGTGATTCTAAATGACATTGCACCTACACCTAAATTCTATTTGTCCTCACACTGTTTGCAATGAGTCATATTCAACTATTTGACTGTCAAAGTTAGATATACATACCTTAACTTGTTTAACTTGTTCCTAAGTATTTCTAATTTCTAATGTATTCTAGAAACTGTGCAGGGCTGAGAAAGCAGCCTTTCTACATTTCCATATTTGTGAGACAGATCCAATTGAATTCATTTACTATGTAAATCTGATAATGAATAAGTAAATTTCTCATTCAACTCCTCTAAGCAAACAGTGAATCAATTTCAACTCATTTGCAGTTAGTAGTGCTAGTCAATCTTGTTATTTTCTATAGCACTTGACAGATCCAGAAACCCATCACCAGGCTCAAAAGTCACCAAATCAGCACTGGACTGGAGCGTCAGCCTCCGCTGTGAGCTCACAAGTCTGGTTAAGGAGAGAAAGTGGTCTGATGTGTGTAGATTAGACAGGTCTTCAGTTCAGAACCTGGTTTATGTTGAGTTAACCAGTTTGGCAGAAGGTACCATTCTTGGCAGCAGGTTTGATGAATAGAAAATGAAAAAGTTGCCAGATTCCTGCTGCTGAAAGTCCTTGTAATGGTAAGTGGCTTCACGGAAAATAGCTGTGGTTGACATAGTTTTGGGTAGCACATGGCTAAAAGAAAACAGTTGCTCAGAGCTTTCAGCTCCACATAAGACTGCAAGGTTTCCCGAAGATCAAGTTATAACAATCTTTGTCTCTTGTTAAGATGTGGTGATCCAAATCTGGGGAAATAACTTTCATCTTAACATCGCTTCCTGCGCTGGTTACTGTCGGCTATTACTAGGAAGGAGTGTTTATAACATGAAGTTCCTTCCTGTCCACATTTACAGCAAAGCGAAGCTGGGAAGGAACGCTATCTGTAATTAGTTTAACACATGTGACAAAGGAGGCCAAGATGAGAATATCCTATTTTTAAAATGCAATTCACTGCAGCAACAGTAGCAGATCTCAATAACTGGCCGCTCAGCCTTCCAAAATATTATAGGCAAGTTTAATACTTAAAGGGGAAATGTACTCTCTACCGTAAAATAATATAATAATAATAATTTGGTCACCCAATCCACGACTGTTTGTGGGACACTGCCGCGTTTCACCCACAAAATATACACTTCACAGTAAATTCGGTGAAGCACTTTGAGACGTCTCGAAGACACAATATGGCACTATAATATATCAAATGCAAGGATTGTTATTGTAAGCTCCACTTCTAAGGGCAGTACAATTAAAGAGTTACGTGGAAATTGGATCTGACCAATTTGAATTACTGTACAAAATGTTGAACTGAACAGCTACATTTGCTGCTAGAATTACCATTACTAAAATCAGCGACAATACTGCCAAATAACCCTTAACTTCCAGCAGGAGGAACGTTTATGGGCAGAAAGTCGCCTTCCATTCTATGGAAGAATAACCTTCCGAGGTCATGAACTGATGATAAAAGAGTCCTAATGACCTTTCTACAAGAATGACACTACAATCAATCGCTCTTCTTTGTAAATAGACTACACTTTGAACAGCTCAATTATTATACAGGAAGCACAGCAAACTGTAGCAAAGGAGTGTGAGTGTGAGTTCACACTATTCGAACGTTGTGCAAAGCTGAGCTATTTGGTACACATACATGTAGTTAAGTCCGAAGCAAAGGTTTTAAATTTAAGTAGAGCCAATTTTGCTGGTATGAGAGAGGATTTAGCCAAAATAAACTGGGAAATTAGACTTTTATGGAATTCACTACCCCAGAAGGCTGTAGATGCTCAGTCCTTGAACATCTTCAAGGCTGAGACTGATAGATTTTTTAAAAAATAGAGGGATTAGGGGATATGGGGAGAGGGCAGGTAATTAGAGTTAGGTCTGAAGATCAGCCATGATCTTATTGAATGGCGGGGCACAGGCTCGAGGGGCCGAATGGCCGACTCCTGCTCCTAATTCTTATGTTCGTATGTACACACACATACGTACACAGACATGCAGGTCCAATTTTTAATGTTAGCAAAGAACCAACTTTAAACATTTTAAATAAATTGCAAAAGGCATCACATTGAACGAGTGCAAACCTTGCAGGGTAACCGCGAACAGAGCATGTTTTTACTGTGTGAATGAAATGACAGAATTGGCGGAGAACTGGGCTTTACATGTTGGGAGGGTATCCCGAATAATAAATTGAAGCTCTTTAAATGCCTGGCTCAACACGGTCAGTGGATAAAAAGTGAGAAAGAGTAGGGTAGTCAGTTTTGACAGCCAGGGTCAGAAGGTGAGTGCAGGAAATTGCTACAGACCGCAAGGGAGAGCGGGTCAAGAGAACAGAGAGTCAGTTGAGCAAACCATGGGAGACTTTAATTATCCAGAAATTAATTGGGAGCAACTTGGCACACTGTCCAAGCGAATATTTAATTTGTGGAGCTGATACAAGATTGGTTCTCAACACATGTCAAGCAGGTAACGGGGGCATGGGTTGTATTAAACATCACTTCCAGCAGAAGTCAATGTGATTGAGAGTCTGGAGATCAGAGAACATGTGTGTAACAGGGAACATAATGTTATTTCATCTGATATTTGTGGTTTAGGCAGGAGTGGTAAATAGTGTATCTAAAATAGCTGATTTTAAAAGAACAGGCTTTACTAGGATGAATGAAGGATTAAATAAGGCTGTTTCCAATTCCCTGAAGGTTCAAGTTGGGAAAGCAACTGTCACAGACCAGCAAAGACCCAGTTTTCATGTAATGTAAGATGGGTTAGTTTATCTCAGTTGAGCCAACAGGATGTGTCCTTCCAGTGAGAGAGTGCGCATTCCATTCTATCTCTGGGATTTCTATGTGTAGGTGGGATGCAAGAAAATCTCAGTTTGGTTTGGATACCTCAAACATGGTGATGGGTTTCTGCATGTGTCAGCTGACCAAGAAAATGTAAAAAAAAACTCTTTCCCGCCTCTCACCCTCAATCTCTCTCCGCTCTCTCTCTTACATGCGCTCTCTCTCCCCCCTTCTCTCGTCACTTGAACCCACCTTTACTGACTCAAGAGATGAGAGCACCACTGACTGAGCCAGCTTGACATCTAACTAACAATGCACATATTTTTATATTCTTGGTTTTGACGAAATATTGCTCCTTACAGTGGAGTTTGATTTACTCTTCCTGTCCCGGTTGCAACTCAGCACATCTCTTCTTTAATGGTATTAAATAATGATCTATCGAACAGTTGTCCATCCAATAACATTTAAAGGACAGTATAGAAGCGAAGCTGGGATAAATTCAGATGGACTGTGTGTATCCTGCAAGGAGGCAGGTGATCGGGCTCCAGCACAATTCCTGCAATTCATTGCAAAAAAGTGTCCTGGCCAATAATTCTCCAGGTAAATTGCTGTTTTTGGGACTTTGTTGTGTGCCAAACTGGCTGCCTTCTTTGCCCAGAAATACGGAGATGGGTTTGCTTGACAGGTAATTGCTTTGAGATGATTCAACATGATAAGGCACTACAACAATGCTATAGCAAGTTATTTCTGTCAGTATAAAGATCTGAAATAGAAAACTTTCCTAAAAATAAATCAGCTCACAGTACCAGCATCAACAAACCATTTCCTTCAGAGAAACATTCCTATAGAATACTTCAACTCGGTTTCCCATGTGAAGCACAGCAAAAGCAATGACGTGTACACATCTGCCACTAATTACAACTAACAGAGTTGCCATGAAAAAATGTGTTGTTAATGGGTTTAGTGTGTTTGTTCAGAATGGTATCTAATGGCAGGAATGAAACATTCTGAGCTCTCTCCTCCTATACTTCCTACATTGATTCAGATCCACATGACTCTGTTCACCTCGCAATAAGTTTAGTCGATTGGTAGAGCACTTTGAGAAGTCTCAAAGATGCAATAAGGCACTATATCAAAAAATTCTGTCGTTCGGTCAATAGAAATATTTTAGAGTAAGATTTTGATAGACGGAGTAAACGCAGCAATGGTAATTAAGTGACTACACAGTATTTGAGACAAAGAATCCAGCCTAATACACACTTGCGGAAAGCTTAACATTTACCTCTGGAGATCGTGCCATGTTTCATTATCAGCTCTGCTGCTTCAGTGTACTTTAATACTGTCAACGCACCCCTGTAACCTGGAACAAATAATGGGAGATCTAATGAGCTGACACATCCATTCAGATCTGAAGCACCATCTGTATTGTGTTCCGCTCTAGAGCAGACGTGCTGACAGTTATACCACGTCCTTTATTCATCAGGACGTCAGCGATCATTTGGCAGCCCAATCTAATTGTTATTTCGCACAGTTTAAGGTAGGAGACAATGATTAGCTTGCATGAAATAACATGTTTCTGTTAAGACATACGCCACCTGTACTCATTAAAGATGGGTGGCTGGAAATCTATACAAGATGAGCCAAAGCTGTATCAACTAAAGTGGACGTTAAAGATCCCATGACACTATTCTAAAAAAAGAAGCGAGTGTCTCCTGGTGTCCTGCCCAACAATTCCCAAGTAAAATCATTCATAGTCATGGCTGTTTGTGGGACACTTTGTAGAGGAGGGTTAAATGTCACAGGATTTTTCAAAAAGGGAGCATTTACAAAGCTAAAACTGTGGAAATTGATCTGAATTGTTTGGGTTCAGTTCGTAGCCCTTTTCTGGATCACTCAATGCCCTTAGCTTTAATGAATATGTTAGCAAGAAGGTCTTGAAATGATCTAAAGGAACAGCTGTCATTCAAAGTGCGCCTTAAGGCAACTTTGCTATGTTGACCCGAGATTAATTCGAACAAGAGGAGGCTAATAATACACTAGGAAACAGTTTTCCAGGAACACTTTGTCTATGTCAGATCCTGTTAACTGCTGCCCTTGGAAAAACAATGCAATTACACTGTACTGAAAAGCACAGGAAATGCTTGATTTTTAGCTTGCAGTACCTGCAGTCTCCCTGAGATGGATAATTATTTACTCTCCATGCAATAAGACAGCTGCCACATGACTCCACGTTGAAAGAGGGTCACTGTAATCACTTTCAAAAGCATGTGCTTTAGCAGGAGAAAAATTAGCTTTGCAAGTATGTCTAAAGTCTTGATGAGGAGCCTATTTACCAGAATTACATAGAATTGCAGTATATAGAATATATAGTATTGAAATAGGTCATTTGGCTCAAGTAGCCCACATTGGTGTTTATACTCCATGTGTGCCTCCACCCATCCTATTCCCACACCCCACCCCCAACATCCACATCCACATCCTCATATGTTCCCTTCTCCCACATATGCAACATGTAACATGCGTGATGTGTATCTGCTTGGACTGGTTACCTCAAGGAGTTGTGGGATCTGACTAAAGCAGGTTCACTGTGAACAAGTCACAGAAGCATTTATTTAACCCAAATGATCTTGAGATTAATGATTTTATTGGCACGCATCTATATTTAGGTTAGAGTAACCCTCTCTCTCTCTCTCTCGAATGACATTAACCAACATTACAAATTACCTTAAACAAAAACAAAACTTCCTTTCCTCAATATATTTGTTCCCTCAAAAGTACGATAATCTCTTTTAGTGGAAAGGTACTATAATTTACAGGGAATAGAATTATTATAACGCCTGTTCTGATTCTTCCCTTTATGAGGCTGCTATTATTAACTCTGACACCAGGCAGCATCAGAGTAACAGCATCAGCATATCTTGGTTTTCTGAGGATGTTGATCCAGTGTGCTTTAAAACCGAAGAGTCTGAGATTCTACCACCGTGGCAAGACTATTCATTTCATTGTGATCGATTCTCAATCTAACAAGGTGACAGCATAGAAGGTTTACAGAAACTTTACTTCAGATCTCTTATACTCCAAATGTTCACCTAATTAAATATTCTATTAATTCATTCACAATTAGCTTGTTTGAAAGGCTCTAATAGGATAGGATTAGATTCCAGGGTTGTTGTGAGTGGTAATTTAATTGAAATTGACTACGTCATCTCTTTGGTTCTCTGGAAGAATGGTCAGTCATCAAATTCATTGATCAAAGGAATTTGACAGAGGAAGTGTGACATTGCTGAACTCCTGGAGAAATGCTGGTTGGCAGGCTTCCATGGCTACTTGCCTGAACTATTGGTGTGAGCAATACAGCTCAAGTTACAATGTACAGATCCAATCCCCTCCTCCAGTCTTACACTGATCATTACATTTCTATAATGGGATCTCCCATCCTCAGTTCTAGCAGACTAGCATAACATAACATGCAGCAGCAGGAGTAGGCCATTCGGCCCTTCGAGTCTGCCCCGCCATTCAATCATGACTGATCTTCTAATCTAACGCCAGCTAATAACCTGACCCTGCCTTATCCCCATATCCCTTAATCCCTTTTGCAATAAGAAATCTATCTCAGTCTTGAATATGTTCAAGGACTGAGCGTCAACAGCCCTTTGGGGTAGTGAGTTCCATACATTCACCGCCCTTTGAGTGAAGAAGTTCTTCCTCAACTCAGTGCGAAAGGGTTGTGACCCCAGGTTTAATTTCTCCAACCAGAGGAAACAATCTCCCACTATCTGCTCTATCATGCCCTTTGATGATCTTATAGGTTTCTATAAGATCCCCTCTGATTCTTCTATATTCTAGAGAATATAGGCCCAAATTGGTCAGCCTATCCTCGTAACTCATCCCCTTCATCCCTGGTACTAACCGAGTAAATCTACGCTGCACCCCCTCCAAGGGAAGTACATCCTTCCTTAAATAAGGAGACCAAAACTGGACACAGTATTCCAGGTGTGGTCTCACCAGGGCCCTGTACAGTTGCAGCAAGACTTCCCTACTCTTATACTCTAATCCTTTCATAATGAATGCTAACATACCGTTTGCCTTCCTAATTGCTGCTGCACCTGCAGACTAACTTTCTGTGATTGGTGTACAAGGACACCCGAGTCCCTCTGGACGCTAACACATTCCAATCTCTCCCCTTCTAGAAAATAACCCGCTCGACTGTTTTTGCCTCCTAGGTGGATGACTTCGCACTTCCCTACATTATACTTCATCTGCCACCTACCTGCCCAATCACCTAACCTATCTATGTCTCGCTGCATTTTTTTAATGTTGTCCTCTGTGTTGACACTTCCTCCTAGTTTTCTGTCATCCGCGAATTTAGATATATTAACTTCGATGTCCTAAATCTAGATTGTTGATGTAGAAATCATTGTGCTCTATAATTAATCCATTCACTCCCAGATAGATACCAAATAGGTCAAATACAGAATAAAGACTGCTACGTTTTGTCCCAATAGATAACACTCACCACAACGATATTACTCCAAATTGCTATCCAGTGTCACAACACCAGCTATTTCATAACCCATCTGGGTAACACTGACAATATAGCACCAAATTCTCACTAGATTTACATCAACTGAAAACTGGGTTGAGACAACAAACTCCTTTGATGTAACAGCCAAGTAGTGAACTGGGCGACAATTTCCTCCCGTCAGTCTGGACTGGATAAAGACTAAAGACGTCTCGAAGCGCTGTACAGAATACGCTGTAAAGTGAATTGGCTATATTTTGTGGGAGAAACGCGGCAGCCAATCGCACACAGGAGTGTCCCACAAATTATCTTTTTTAAAGGATTATTACCCCCTGGAAAAGCAATCGATCCACCAATCGACTAACAACCGGATTCCTACTTACTGCTAGGTAAACAGAAGCGTGTGGAGTAAGGAAACTTGCCTAAGGTTTCGCCCTGCTGGGAAGTGAACCAGGGTCCTCTCAAGTGTAATCGGCATTTGACCCTTGAGCCACACAGTTCCTCCATGACTGATGCGATGATTATTATCACAGAAAAAAGAAATAAAACCTCACATCATCTAGTTTGTATTTTACATTGGGGACATATTAATAATTTATAAGAACCAATCTTTTGTGTTATTTGTGTTCAGTGCTCCCTATTCTATTTCCTCTTTTACTCCTGCCACTTAGATCCTTGCTCTTAGGAGCTGACAGATAAAATAACCTGCTCCTTCACTAATATATATATTATATATAAATATAAACGCAGTTTCTTTCACTGACATAGAGCTGGCGCTCCTCTGGCTCAAACAAGATGGAAAAAACAGCATCTATGCCACATGCAAAATGGTATCTTCACTATCTTCAATTCTTTGAAACAACACCAATAATTCTTTGTACAACAAACACCCTTTAGGTCTGAGCAGAGTTTTGAACTGGCTGCTGTATTGGGGGTGACAACTGTCATGTTTATTTTGCTAAGAAACATATCAACAACAACAACAACTTGCACTTATACAGTGCCCTGCATGCAGGGTAGCATCTCATTTCCACTCCTTTGTCTCTTAGGAGCAGAATGCTTTGACAGTCTAATCCATGACAATCTTTAAACAGGAAAACTAATAAAAATGGAGAGAGGTGACTCTGTGGTCCTGCCACCACATTAATAACTGATACCATCTTCACACAGTCCCAAGCTACACTGTTCACAACCAATGACCATTTACATCCACTTACATTGAACTACTTTCCTTTGATTCCAGTCTCAAGCATCTCTTAATACTGTTCATCACATTCATTATTTGACTTAATGGGGGCAGGAAGATGAATTTATTTATCGTGGGGATATACGTAGCTCATTGCAATGCTGGTTTATCTCAAGTCTAGCAGCATCCTTGATCCAAAGGGGGAATGAACTCAAATAAACAATGTTCAATAATGCATTTGTAAATCCTGGTGGCTGTGACGATGTTGAAATTCCAGCCACCGATGATTTTTGAATGAACACAAATTGCTAATTCACCATCATGTGCACCTGCAAAACCTTCCAAAAGACACTGATCAGAAGCGAGATTTCCAGTTTCTGTTACTTCTCTTACACCGGGCGCACTAAAGCTAATGTAATGCTCCTGCCTCTGCTCCAGCTGAAATCAGTTAACTCAGTCCAGATTAGGAATCTAACCTGGAATTTCCTCGTCCGTCTAGTTCAGTTTCATGTTGGGACAGTTGCTTTCCCAATTGATCTATGAATAATTTATCTGATTACAGTGGCAAATGCACATTAAGATTTCTCTCCAATTTCTGAGTGAACCCTCCCCCCACACTCATTTCCTGCCACAGATGCAGTATCAGATTGCA